CCTGTGGCAACTGCCGTTCCCTTCTGAGGAGTCTCCGGAGCTGTGGAAGGGGGGTGGGTGTGCTGCCGCCTCCGCCTTCCCGGGAGAGGTGTAAACGCGGCTGTAGGGCACCTGAGCCCGGCTTTCGGAACCTGCAGCACGTACAGGGGCACATGTGCTGTCCGGTCCCCTGTTCAGCTCAACACCACCTGGTCTTGCGTCTCATTCAGCTTCTCCTGGTGTCTGTCACGACCGGAGGCCCTCTGCCAGCCTGAAGCTGGCTTTGTCCGAACCTCTGCTCTCCCTCTCCCCTGTCCTTGGGGAAAGTTCAGTCTTGGCCTGTATGCAGGCTGCTGCTCCGCTGAGTGGTTACTGCTGACTGACTTGGAAACCTTCCCTGGGCTGTGTCTTCTTGTCTTACATTTCTGTGCTTCAGGCTGGTGTTTGGAGAGTGCCTTGCCTGTCTTAGAATATAATACAAATATTATACAAATACATAAGATATGTATCTTGTGACATCTGTCATCAGTTATTATTGCACACTTAATGAAAAAAGTAATTCCTGTGGTGTTTTCCCTATAGTTGTGTGTAATGTCTAAAACTGGTGTATTCAAATCCATTTTTCGTAATAGTCTGTTTTCGTCTTTTGCCCTGTGTAATGAAGCTTGTGCATGGAGCTACAGGATTAAATAGTTGCTGCCAGCATGGAGTTCTCTTAATCCGATATACTCCATATGGCTTTACAGACCCAAAGGAACTTGGTTGTAATAAATATTTAGGGGCTTCTGTAATTATTAAATAATGTCTGTGAGACATGGGAGATAAAAATACTTTTTCTGCTATATGAAACTATAATTATGGAAGAGTTTGTATTTCCCTTTTATTTTTGAGTCTTACAGAAGAGCTATTTTTTCTTACTGTGGAAGACTTAATATTCAAGTCAATTATGGCAGTTAGTTCTTGAATAGCTAGGTAGAGATACATAGAGAAGGTATTTCAGATTATGCCTTGAAGCATCCTTTGAAGCTAGGAATGCTTCATTTTCTAATGGAGAAAATAAGGAATGGAGTGATAGGTAGAGTTACCCATTTAGTACTCTTGAAGAGAAGGAATAAAGGTGGACTTGCAAGTTTGGTTTCTTTCTTAATTGTCTGATTTTTCTTCATTATAATGTGTAGACTGGGAACATGCTTTTTTTTTTTTTTCCTTTTTAATTACATTAGGTTTTGTTTCATTTCTAGGTTAAAGTGAAAATACCTTTTGGAAACAAATACCTTGATGCTATCTTTTCTGTCCCAGAGAAGAAATCGACATATGGAGTGATTCTTACCCATGGAGCTGGAGGAGATATGAATTTCCCTCACTTAATGTCTTTGGCAGCCTATCTTGCATCCCATGGAGTTCTGTGCCTACGGTTTACTTGTAAAGGCCTTAACATTGCTTATAGGACTAAGGCCTTCAAAACAGTTGTGGTAAGAAGTGACCAAATTCTGCCAAAGCTTAGATCCATGGGTGTTGCCTTCTGGGTTTCTTGGAGTATGACCAGAGACCAGTCAAGCAACAGTGGGAAAATTAGAAGTGACAGTTAGCTAAATGGAGCACTGTCTGTGAACAGAAACAGCAGGAGGAATTTTTGTATGGGCAATAGCTGGAACAGCTGCGGCAAGTGTGTGGGTTTGAGTTCAGGGAGAGAAAGAAAAGCTTGAGAAATGGATGTAAGAAAGCAAGAGTGTTTCGTGGGAAAACTTGAAAAAATGAAAGTATTTAGCATGGAAACCAGAGGTAGGTGTTCTGGGAGGGCATGGTGGAGGGAGAGGGATTAAGGGACACAGCTTTGGGAGGGGTTTTGACAGGAAAGAAGCTGACCTGGGAATTGTGTTGGGTCTCTGAGTGTTGGCAGCTGGGAGAACAAGACTTTAGGAAAAGAGTAGGGGACTCTGGGTCGCAGGAAGAATTGAAGCAAAAGAGATTGGGAGTAGCATATGAGCACCTTGGAACCTAAATAATCTTTGATTTCAAAATCAGTTTAAACTGTTATATGCACATGCTTATCTCTTTCTGCTGCTGTTACGTAATTTAAGACGTTCTTATGTACCTAGGTTTTGTTACAATGGGCAACCTTTTGTTATAATAGCATCAGCTTGGAGTATCTTCCTGCTCTCGATTGCATAGGAAAGAG